AGTTCTTGAAAAATATTCTTTAAAAAAATCCACGCCTTGTGGTAGTCCTTGAAAAATATTCTTTAAAAAAATCCACGCCTTGTGTGAGTCTTTGAAAAAATATTCTGTAAAAACCCACGCCTTCTTTAGCCCTTGAGACAATACTTAACCCTTATATAGTCCTCGTCTTTTGTCAAGCTTAAACAAATATTTAAAAAAGTGATCTTTGACCCACTGTGCATTGCCTTTTACACCAAATTGTGCAGCAGTCAGTCGGAGGACAAATGTCTTTTGATGGCAAAATCTTGTTTTCGTTATTGTCGTCGATTTGTTGTTGTTGTTGCCGTCGTAGACGTCGTCGTTTTGCTGTTAGTAGTAGTCACAGTTGTCGTCTGAATCTGTTTTTTTATTCTCCTTTTCTGTAGTTTTATTTTGTACAAAAATAATCATGTTTCTGTTGCCTAAAGCAGAAATAATATGCAAACAGTATTTTAGGCAATATACGTACCCGGACCGCTAACTCTTTCAACGTCCTGCCTAGACTTTGACAATGCCTTGCAGGCCAATGGAGGCAGCAACAGCAGCCTCAGCTTCTTTTTTTGTAGTTACAGCAAAAGCAAACAAATAATTTGACAAAAATACTCACACATACACAAATATTTCATTTTTCTTTAGTGATAAATTTGTGTGCGTCCTTCCCTCCACATCCTTTTCAACTTAGGAGAAATGCTGTTTATCTGTCTGTCTTTCTGCATGTCTTCATGATGGAAAATGCACGTGTGATAATGTTGTTCACTAGTGAGGCAATTGTCGCTTGGTGTCTGTCAGTCACTTGGTTTTTGTTTGTTTTCTATATTTCGTATGTTTTTCTTTACCATGGGGAGTTGTCATTTTTTTGCGTGTCCCACTGTCTGTCGTGGTGTCAAGCAGCTATGGAGTCATTTTTGTTGAATAATATTGAAATATTTTTCTACTTGATTTTGTTTCAGTCACTATTTGTAATGATACGAGGGTGGTGTAATGGTAAAATAGAATAACATCAAGAACGGAAAATTATTTAAAAAATGTAGAGGCTTGAAAAAAATTCTCAGAGATAGAACCAAATCAAGTACCAGCGGAATTAAAAACACCGTCGAATGTTAGGAATTTTCCCTTGGCGTTTATTTATTACTGTCGGAATCGCTTCTAACGACGGTCAAGGTACCATTAGTCACTATAAGCGATATGAAATAAAGAATAAACATTTATTCGAGACTTTTCGATATCGTCGTTCTGTCTGATATGCCATCGACTGTTCCAACTATCTTTCGACACACCTTCTTCATAAACATTTTCTTCCATTTTTCCTAACTTTTTTTTACGTATCATCTAAATCTGATTTACCTATATTAGCTTTCTGTATTTTTTTTCTGTCACTCATCTTGATTTCACCCAAAAAAAAAATTCTGACTCACAAATATTATTACTACATTTCTATATCAACATGTTTCTACAATTTCCAATTTTTTTTTCCTTTGCCCTGCATTTGCTGTCAGAATTTTTTCCCCGTTCGGATGGATAGATGGTGTCAACAATTTGTCATATGTTCAATTGGGAGGCTCATTCAATTTGGATTTTTGTAGGAATTCAGTTTTTTTTTGTTTTTTGTCTCTTCTTCCTGCAACGAGCGACAGCTGCTACTGGTGTGACATGTAATCGAGCGTTTTTGTTGTTGTAAAACTTATGTAGTTTTTTCGGTTTTTGTTTTTACTCGACAAATATCTGAGCAAATTATTTGCACTATGGCATCATCATCACATCATGCCCATCGTTACCATATTCATACCGCTTTCAAGTGCCTTAATGTGAAAATTCTTGAAATTATTGAAAAATTTTGATTGTTGTTTTGTTTTTCTTTTTGGTTTGGTTTAATGCTGATGATTCGTTTTATAGGACATTGACTTTTTGGCATAATTTTTTTAAATTGTTGAAAGTTTTTTTTTTTGCGGCATGTTCCTCACATGTGTTGAAATGTTGCAGCTAGCATATACCCGCTACTTCGTCAGCGAATGTGGGAAGTATTTAAAACCCAATACCAACCAATATTAACACTTTTAAAACCGTTTAGTACCAATGTTCTCTTATAGTACTCAACCCAACACACAAATTCTGACCGCAAAATAAATCAAGCACTATACAAAATTTGGTGTCATTTAGTTAAATTTCCAAATTTCAAATATAGCTTCACCCAAATCCAAATTAAGTACCAGTTAGTAAACATAAATATATAAATTGTCATAACTTCCTACATTAACATACGAATTTCCAACACTTCCCACATACCCCAATCTTAATTTCAAATTTCAGGATTCTATCGGTTCACCTAAATCCAATTTGTTTCAAATTTAGTGCCATTTAATACACATAGGTACAAATTTGCATTACTACCTACATCATGCAATCCAATGAAAATCTTATTACTCAATTTCAAGATTTCAGCTCTATCGGTTAACTTTTAATCCAAACTGTGCCAAATCTAGTGCCATTTAGTACACACATTTCCAAAACTTCCTACATACCCCATTCGAACCCCCCAACAGTGATCCTAACCACCATTTGGTACCATTTAGTAAACATTATTACGAATGTCCAAAACTTTCTACATAGCCCAATACTACACCCCGACAGTGATCCTAACTTCAAATTTCAAGATTCTAGCTCTATCGGTTTACTCAAATCCACATTTGGTACTATTTTGAAACTGTAACCCAAACTGTAACCCTAACTCCAAATTTCAGGATTCCAGCTGTATTGGTGCACCAAAAATTTAAATTGTACAAAATTTAGTACACATTTGTACGAATTTTTAAAACTTCCTACATACCCCAATCCTACACCCCCACAATGATCCTAAATCCAAGTTTCAAGATACCAATTCTATCGGTTCGCCCACAATTCAAACTGTACAAAATTTAGTACAAAGTAATACAAAATTTCAACACTTCCTACATACCCCGGTCCTACACCCCCACAGTGATGCTAAATCCATGTTTTAGGATTCAAACTCTATCAGTTCACTCACAATTCAAATTGTACCAAATTTAGTACACAGTAGTACTAATTCCCAAACTTCTTGCATACCCCAATCCTACCCCCACACTGATCCTAAATCCAAGTTTCAGGATTCCAACTCTATCGGTTCACCCACTATTTAAATTGTACCAAATTTAGTACACATTAGTACAAATTTTTAAAGCTCCCTACATATCTCAATCTTAAACCTCAACAATGATCCTGACTCCAAATTTCATGATTCTAGCTCAATTGGTTCACCTAAAATTCAAATTGTACCAAATTTAGTACCATTTAGTACGAATTTCAAAAACTTCCAACTTAACCCAAACCAACACCCCCACAGTGCTCTAAAATCTAAATTTCAGGATTCCAACTCTATCGGTTCACCCACAATTCAAATTGTACCAAATTTAGTACACAGTGGTACGAATTTCCACAACTTCCTACTTAACTCAAACCAACACCCCCACAGTGATCCTAAATCCAAGTTTCAGGATTCCAACTCTATCGGTTCACCCACAATTTAAATTGTACCAAATTTAGTACACATTAGTACAAATTTTTAAAGCTCCCTACATATCTCAATCTTAAACCTCAACTATGATCCTGACTCCAAATTTCATGATTCTAGCTCAATTGGTTCACCTAAAATTCAAATTGTACCAAATTTAGTACCATTTAGTACGAATTTCAAAAACTTCCAACTTAACCCAAACCAACACCCCCACAGTGCTCTAAAATCTAAATTTCAGGATTCCAACTCTATCGGTTCACCCACAATTCAAATTGTACCAAATTTAGTACACAGTGGTACGAATTTCCAAAACTTCCTACTTAACTCAAACCAACACCCCCACAGTGATCCTAAATCCAAGTTTCAGGATTCCAATTCCATCGGTTCACCCACAAATTAAATTGTACCAAATTTAGTACACATTAGTACAAATTTTTAGAACTCCCTACATATCTCAATCTTACACCTCAACAATGATCCTGTCTCCAAATTTCATGATTCTAGCTCAATTTGTTCACCTAAAATTCAAATTGTACCAAATTTAGTACCATTTAGTACCCATAAGTAATAATGTCTTAAACTGAGTCCTGACCCCAATCCTACACCCCTACAGTGATCCTGACTCCAAATTTTATTGTTCCCGCTCTATCGGTTCACCCAAATCCAAATTGTACCAATTATAGTACGATTTAGTACTTTTCGTACACATAAGTAACAAATTTCCAAAACTACGTACATATCACAATCCTATACTCCGACGGTAATGTTACTTTCAATTTTCAGGATTCTAGCTCCATTTGTACCTCCAAATCAAATTTGTACCAAATATAGTACCATATAGTACTTTTCGTACACATGAGTACACGGTTTCAAAACCATCTCCTTATATCGACCCTACTTCCCAACCCTAATTCGCATTCCAAATTTCAAGCTTTTAGCTCTATCCGTTCTCATGCTACAAAATTGTACCAAATTTAGTACATTTTCGTACATTTCGGATAGTTGTAGTTCGAATTTCCAAAAACCTTTGGTACATCTATCCTACACTCCATCAGTGACCCTCAATCCAAATTTCAGAGTTCTAGCTCTACTGGTTCGCCAAATACAAATGATATCATATTTAGTACTTTTCTTCCAGTTCTAGTACGAATTTCCAAAAACCCAGCCTTATCTGTCACAATTGGACCAAGAGTGACACTCACCAAAAATTTTAAGATTCTAGCTTCAGCCGTTTCGTCTGGGCGTTGGTGAATCTTTAAATCAGTCAGTCAATCACTTTACTCCGAAAATATTCCATTTTCAAAATAAAAATAATTTGATGATAATTTGTTTGTTTGTTTACATTTTTCTGTCAAATGAGTTGGGCAACAACAAATTTCCATGTGGTTGTTGTATCGTTTTTTGTACAACAACATTTGCTGTTACCTTTTATTATTTCAACTGTTAACGATCTGTAAAACTCTATTTAACCGCTCTCCAACGTTCGTTTTGTTGTGGTCCTTAGCGATTTATTATTATTGTTATTATTATTATGTTGGGCAGCCTAGTTCCCGTATCCGACCGATATATTCTCGTTCTATTTCTCGAAAACATATAGTTTCTTATATTTATTCTGCATTTCTATTTTGTGACATTCTTCCATGTCTCTTTCTAAACAAAGAGTTGATAACGCCATTATGCATCATCCTCATTCGTAAACAATACCTCTCGCTATATTGTTTCGATTTTGATTTTTATTAGACATTCTCTGCCGTCTCTCCGTATTCGTAGCATGTGCAACGTATTAAAATTAGACCGGTAGGAGATTTGGCTCAACGCACGAATTGAGCTTGGAATTGAATAGACTGAAATAACAACCAAATCAACATAAAGTAAATATGTCACTCTCAAACAGAATCTTGAAAACAATCAATATACAATGGCAACTGCAGCGCTTTTACGCAACCAAGACTGATCTAAAGACATTTGGCCAGAAGAAGCAACATTATGGTAACCTATTTCCGGACAAGTTACTGAGTAAAAAACAAAAGACTCCCGCCCTAATGTATTTGGCCAATAATAAGGCGGCAACGGCGGTGGATGAACTTCTAGATCCATACTTAAAGCAGAGTCCATGCGACACCATTTTGGAAATAAATCCAGGAATTGGTTTATTTACACGTAAATTACTCGATCGAGAGGATACGTTTAGGAAAATTTTACTTATGGAATCGATGGATTTCTTCATGGATAATCTGCAAGAAATGCATTCCCTGTATCCGGATAAGGTGAAAGTGAAACATTGCGATTTCACGAATATTTGGAAACTTGTCTATCAAGATAAAATGGATAATGGCACCAGAGTGGAGGAGGTTCTGAGAGATATTCCGCGAAAGGCATATAATGAAGGTAGGACGAGGAATACAGCTTTCTATTAAAAAATCCATTTTCATTTATTGGTCTTTGTGTTTCAGATTGCAATATGCTGATGTTTGGTGCCATCGGTTCATATCAATTCTTCAAACATCTCATTAACTCGATTGTTTTCCAAAATAGCTATCTAAGCATGGGCCGAGCAGAGATGTATTTTATATTGCCACCGCCACTATATTTGGTTAGTTAAATGGTTAGCAAATGTTGTTGTAATTGTCCATAAAATCTGTTTAATTAATTTTAGCATTTAACCTGCACAAATGACATTGGCTATATGATATATAGATCGACCACAATACTATTTCAAATATTTTTCGAGTATAAATTTATAGCGTATCTGCCACGAGATGATTTCCTGCCGCAACAAACAGAATACAATACATCGAAGGGCAGTAAACTGAGAAGGGTATGTATGTATAGGATGAAAATAATTTATTCTATATTGCTTCTTTCTGTATACTCCTATTGACAAAATATTTCAATACAATTCATGTTTATATTCCTTATAGGTTCGTTCTATAAATCCCGAGCATCTCTATCTTGTTAAAGTCGTACCGAGGAGAAATATATTTGATTTTGTTGCAGCAGAAGATTTGCCTGCTCTTTGGTACTTTATAAAACAGAATTGTGTTAGTCGACGCAATCGTATTATACCAAATTTAGAGTAAGCCACCACAACTAACGTTAAAAAATCGAAAAAATAATTTTGATTTCTTACAGGAAATGGATACCCGGCTGTGGTCCTAGACTCATTGTAAATAAACGCCAAACAGAAGTCTCAACATTGTTATATCCGGATGAGGATATTAGTAAATTGCCGAAATATTCAACACCCTGCAAGACAATTAGTAATCGTGATTATTATCCAAATATCAACATATACACGCAGTTTGGTGATCTTACGCCTGGTCAATTTCTAACATTATATTCAATGTTCCGTAAATGGCCAGAATATGAGGAAAGTTCTTTCTTGGCCTCGTTTGAAAACAATATGTTAAAAATGGAAGCATCAGCCGAAGATTCAGTAGATGGCTTGGCCGAAGAAGATGATGATGATGGATCAACCGAGTTAAGATCCCTTAAAGATGCCCCATTGGAGCCGGCCTCACTACAAAAGCCCAAAAGAAATCGCATTAAGGATAAAGAGTCATGAACTTGTTTTTATTGAAGTGTTACAAAAATGGTTGATTTCTTATAGTTGTTATTTAGTATATATTTGATGTTTTTTAATTGTAAATTTGTATTGTCAAAATTGATAAAAAAAATAAATTTTTGCTATGCTACTTTATTTTCGATTTGGACATGTGCCTTGTATTGCTCTTTTAGAGCCACGAGCACAGATTTCAGCCTTGCTAAGATCATATGGAGATGGCGTTTCCATACCGAATCTACTTGCTAAAGACACAAACGGTATAACACAATCAATATGCATCGTTTTTGGATCAACGCCAAGTACATAGTTTAAATGAGAACTTGGACAGGGTCCAGGTTTGCCCAATTCATAGCACACTTTTTGTATTTGTATTTGGCCATCGACTTGGCAGGCGTTTGGGATACATTCAGGTATTATGTTGTTGTTGCCAAGCACTAAAATTTGATTTGGTGGACATGGGCCTTGTCGAAAAGCGGGAAAACAACCATCACTTTCAGGATAATAGAGAGCGGCTGAAACGAGGCAATTGCAAATGAATTATGAAACACATTAGGCATTTGGGAGTAATCATTACTTACCAGGAGCACAATCGCAAACCCAATCGTCTTTTTGATCACCGGGATATAATAGTTCATGGGCTTTACATCTTGAGGGTATATAAATTGGCGTGCGACCCTTAAAGAAATAAAAAAAAAACAATTTATGAATAGGGGTTAGGTATTTGAACTCTATTTAATAAACAATTCAAATATTTTCTGATGCTTGTGTAGATATGGTTTAAAAATATTTATAACAAATTCCAAAATGTTAATTTAAATATTTTATTTTGCAGTGTCATTCATTATTGAAAAGTTGTCGAATAACTTATAATCCCGAATAACAGAGATAATAACGTTAAAAAGATGAAAAATAATTAATAACAAAATAATTATTGTTCGTTCCCCGATAATTTCGATTATCAGTTAATTGAGAGGCTACTGTATTTGGGTTCACCGATTTCGAGTATTCCGATATTCGAGTAAAATATTGATTGCAAAATTTAATATTTGTGCAAATGTTCATAACTATAGTCTGGTACTTTAAATCAGATAAACAAGTATCTATAAATAAATTCGCGACATGCTGAATTTTATTCAAAATAAGGCAAAATATTAAATCAATGCTTAAATTACGCAATATTTACAATTTTGTGACTTTTTTCAACTCAATCTTCGAGTTTTTGTTTTCATAATTAATATTTCAATGTTACCCACACAAATACACACGTATTGGCATTAATATTTTCCCGTTTTTAAGTCTGGCTTATTTTCTTTAACTCACATTTAGATTAGCTTTCGCTTTATCTTGATCCACACCTTCCGGGAAGCCTACTTGACCCAGGACCAGCTGTAGGCCAATCATCAAACACAACCCTCCGAACAATAAATAATTAAATCTGGACATATCTCTAATACAAGCTGTTTCACACCGCTCACTACCCGAATGTATTACAACCGATGTATGAAAGCAATCGCTGATAACTAAATTGAACTGTTTAACAGTTTATCAGTCAGTTAGTCGACCAGCGGGGAGGTACCGCTGCTTTGATGAAGAAGAGACAAAAATCAATCTCTCACAATCCATTGTTGTTGGCCTATGTCTGCAAAAACACAATATTGTTTTTTTTTTTAATTTTTCTAAATCCGGTTTTTGTTTTGGCGGACTACAAAACAAAATCACAACAAGTGAAAATTCAAAAAAAGTGTACAGTAGTGACAAATAGTTTTCATGCAATATTAACTATTGTTGATATGTTAATATACTAAATATTAGCTTACATATTGAGACAAATTTATATATGTTAGAAACTTATCAGAGTCCTGTACCTGTCACAAAGTCAACACTTGGATGTGGATTTTTTTAAATATTGCTTAAAAGACGTAGAAAAATAATGTTTCTATTTTTTAACCATATTTTTCACGGCATATTTTTAGGCTTAGTTTTTTGAAATATCTTTTTTAAGGTTTATCCCAGGCGTAGATTTTCAAAATAATTTTCGAGGTCTATTTTTAGGCAAAAACTTTGAAAATATTTTTCAATAGTTATCATAGGAGTACATTTTTCAAAATATTTTTTAGGGTATATCCTTAAACTCCTTGTACATTAGAACTTTTTACCGGGTTAACCTACTTCATGAGGATTTATTTGACATATATGCAAAGGAATTGACAATTGAAACCCACTGGGTTAACGAAATCCGGTTAAATGTAAACGTACTATTAGGCGTAGAACATTAATGTATTGGGACATAATGTATATACAAAGAAAATTCTGTGCTACTGGACACATGTTGGGCGTAGATTTCGAAGGAGAATTTTCTCATATAAATTTTGAAAGCTTAATGTTGTCAAAAGTAAAATTATGAAAAAATTGGAATCATATGTCTGCGAAATGGAGACAAAGGTTTATGAAGGGTAAAAATATATATGGTCTGTTCCCGTACTGCAAGAAATTTGTTATCGTAGTAAAAAGTAGTAGATTCTTCTGGCCCAATTGCATTAAGCCTTTATTTTATCTATGTTGAATTTTTTAGTTATAGCCATTGGATTCAACAGTATTGCTTTAAATACCAGCAATGATTTTTTTTAGAATATAGTGTAAAAAGTAGTTTAGAATATAACAGAACAGGATAGGGGGAAGGTTCACAGACAAAAGAACAAATTTTACGAAACGAGGTTGAGAATCATCCGGCAAAACTTTCTATTCAAAAAAGAAGGTAGTTGTTCCTGAGGAAAACCCCGAATTCAACAAGATACTAACTTTGCTCTTGGGGAGAAAAAAACACACACAATTTTCTAGGAGAAAAATTTGTTTATCTTGCAGAATAAATAATCTCAAAGAAATCTCAAATATAGGGGGAAGGTTCACAGACAAAAGAACAAATTTTACGAAACGAGGTTGAGAATCATCGAGCAAAACTTTCTATTCAAAAAAGAAGGTAGTTGTTCCTGAGGAAACCCCTGAATTCAACAAGATACTAACTTTGCTCTTGGGGAGAAAAAAACACACACAATTTTCTAGGAGACAAATTTGTTTACCTTGCAGAATAAATAATCTCAAAGAAAAAGTTGACAATTTTCTTGCAAGTTGCATTTTCCAGACCACAATCCTCAATGAATGACGGAGTAAGAACATCAGTGCACTTTACAGTTTGAACAACTGAAATTAATTCGTTGCATTTGCGACAGACATAAATCCGGTTCACAGTATGCTTGTCCAAAAATATGCTCAATCCACTATATGTACATTTCTTTTTTTCAAATGGCGAAAGTATTTACTACGATAACAAATTTTTCTTTATATCTGAAATAGATGACGAATATAAATTCAGTCCACAATTGCGGAAACGGTGCTCTGCTCAAGTTACTATAAGGGATATAAAATCGAAAATGGACCTATGGGCATACTTGCAGCATTTTTTAACCAAAATGTGCTGGCTGCCCTGAACATAGTTTTATTTCCCGAAGAAGTCCATTTTAGCTTGCAGGCGACGATGAAATTCATTTGTGCGACTTTTCTTAGAGAACATAGAAAGTTATGAATTATTAAATGTAATATCAAATGATTGTAATTTTTTTTTTTATTTAATTCGAATTTACCCTAATTGTAGAATGTCCCTACAAAATTTCAAGTGAAAATCACAAGAACTCTTGATGATATAGCCGATCTATTGTGTCAGCATCAAGTGACGGCAAGAATGATTCTCAAACTTTAAAGGCATTTTTCTCGAAGCAGTGTTTTACGAATGGCGGGCACGATAACTCAAAAACTAATAATCCAATCGGTTCCAAATTTTGACACGTTTCTCTGGGAGTGTATAGCTCTCGCATGAACTAGGATAAAGCCAATTGGTGAAGATCTTCCTTATTTTTTAACTTTGTTAATTGTTGCGCGAAGTCAATAATCCTAGTTCATACGAGAGCCAGGTATGTACTCTTTCTAACACCGTTTGAATTTTCGGATTCCGATGTTCCAGTGAGGATGATAACTCCTGCCATCAAAATATTAAAATAAGAACTTTTCTTAAATTACCAAAAACAACAACAAAACAACAACAACCAAATTTTTGGAATGTTCCCGTACAGCAAGAATCTACTCGATTTTACTATTTTCTTCGATATCACAAAGAAAAATTCGTTATCGTGGTAAAAAGTAGTAGATTCTTGCAGTACGGGAACAGACCATTTGTAAATTATTTGCCTTCCTTTTTAAATCTTCAAATATATATGTGCATAGTTACAAACCTTAACAAGCATTGGTATTCATTTACCAGCCCATTTAAAATCTTAAAAATAAAAAAATCGGGAATGGGAGGGGGGGTTTCCCTTAAGATGAGTGCAGTAGTGTTACTGAGATGCTCCAAATGACATTAACAACTTTTTTTTATTTCTGTCGAACTAATGGTAGTTAAGGCAAGATCCGATTATGTTATTACGCTAACTGCATCTCTTGATTCTAGCGTCATTAATTTTAAACAACCCACGAAACACTACACTGTACTAAATAGCTCGATTGGTCCGTTCCCGTAATGCAAGAATCTACTACTTTTTACTACGATAACGAATTTTCCTTTATGATACGAAGAAAATGTAAAATCGAGTGATTTTGCACCCAAAAATCCAGTAAAAAGAGAGCTATTTAGTACAGTGTAGTGTTTCGTGGGTTGTTTAAAACAGTTCAACAATAACATAACGGATCTTGCCTTAACTACCATTAGTTCGACAGAAATAAAAAAAAGTTGTTAATGTCATTTGGAGCATCTCAGTAACACTACTGCACTCATCTTAAGGGAAACCCCCCCTCCCATTCCCGATTTTTTTATTTTTAAGATTTTAAATGGGCTGGTAAATGAATACCAATGCTTGTTAAGGTTTGGTAACAATTGTTACCAAATGTTGTCTGCTTACCCAAAAATCCAGTAAAAGAGAGTGAAGTGAGAGAGCAAGTTTGACAGTTCAACAACAACAACAAACTTACTGGAGTTTACTGAAAGAATTTTATGCAGTAAGATTTTGCAAACTCAGCCATTTTTGGACCAGCTTTTTTATGTCCAAACACAAAAATTATTCAAAACATTTTTTTAATTTGCAAAGTTCAATTAGAAGTTAAGTTGTATACAAATTACAGAAAATGGAAGAAAATTCGTAAGTAATGCAAAGTTTCATTAAATTAGAAAATAAGTCCTTATATATTTTTAGCAAGTTCCAGATAGAGGGCAATGTATTGATGCAGAAAGCTTAAATGTTCCCGGGGAACATACCAAATCAAATTTTCATTTATTGTTCATGTTATTTTTAATATTAAATGCAATACAAATAATTGTGTCTTTGTTTGTTTATTTTTGGCGCAAATCAAATGTTTTCTTGAATCAGCTGTTTATTTGCTAAATCTTACTAAATGTTGTCTGTTTACTTTTCTCAGTATTATCTCAAAAGAGCGTAAAATAGGCTTACTCTCTGAACTAGAACTTACTGAATAAATGTTACTGGAAAAGTAACCAGACACACCTAATGTTGCAACTGTTCTCATTAAATGGACCACCGGGTGCACATAGATTAACTCCACTTTTTGAAAAAAATATTAAATTTACGTAACAAAGTTCTTGGAATAGTTATAACTTCATATACTTAATTTAACTTTTTAGATGCTACATTATATAGTTGAATTCGTATCATTAAATATATTTAAAAAAACATCATATTTCATCGAATTTCTCCGATATGTGCACTGAGCGGCTGAAATGATTCTCATTTAAGAGAATAGCGAAAATACGTATTTAGAGAAATAAAAAAAAATGTGTTTATCAAATTCCAATAAAAAATTGAGTTACAATCTTATTTTTTTTAAATTCGTGGTAATAACCGTGGTACAATAATACAAGGTAGGGCAGTTTAAGGTGAATAACAAAAAAGCAACTTCTGCCAAAAATAAAATAAATATACGCAACAAGTGTTTGTGTTTATTTGAAATTTTTTCAACACAAAACTAAAAACGCGAAAAATATATGAAAGGTTATGATTTCTTCAACTTCTGCCAAAAATAAAATAAATATACGCAACAAGTGTTTGTGTTTATTTGACATTTTTTCAACACAAAACTAAAAACGCGAAAAATGTATGAAAGGTTATGATTTCTTCCCAAAATCCAGTAGGGAATACAATCAAATGTTTGTTTCATCCATAACAAAGTAATTACTTCCAGAGGAACATGTTAAAAACTTTATTTTTATTTTATTAAATTTGAATATATTTCAATTTATTTTGAATTTATTTGACATTGTATTCAAAACAATACACACACATACACAAAATATGTATTTTGATTTGATGGAACAAGCCACCTTGAGAAAAAATTGTAATCAGTTGGTAGCTGTGCCCTACCTTATAACAAGGTAGATATACAAGGTAGCCGCATGGTAATACAACAAATACTATTTTGATATGTCAAAAATATTTTGTAAACAAACAGTGTGTGTGTAGAAAATGTTAATAAAAGTATTGCCAAAAAAGCTATTCGAAATTCGGAGATTTTCATTTTTTATTTTGCTTTTTAATTTTTTGGTTCAACATTACAAATTTATTTGTCCAAGTGCTACCTTATTAAATATACCTTGCCTTATAATAATTATACCATGGTTATAACTTTTCTTTTTGTAAACAAGTGTGTGTGTATATGTAAACAAATACCAGCTGACAGTATTAAATTTAAATATCCAAATTAATGATAAAAAAGTGTGTATGTAAATGCGCTATTAAATTTCCAACCAAATTAATGATAACGATTGCTTCTTAAAGCGGTGTACATACTAACACTTTTGAGTGCTTTACTGAATGTCCATTTTTGTATTTGGCTAATGAATGACAAACATGAGATGCCAAACTATTAAACAAGCAAAAAATGGTCGAGTGTCATTCAAAAGTGCTAGTGTGTACACCGCTTAAGATTGTCATTCAGAAGTGATAGATAAATAGTCGATTAATCGATTAGTCGCAAATCGCAACCAATCCAACACACAGCGCACGAAAAAGAATTTTTTACAACGATTTTTCCCAATAATTACCCAACAGAAAGTTGTCAATTTACAATAAAAGTGAAATGCAAGTGCTCGTTTACGTCAAATTAATAAATTCGGAATGAAAATCGCGTCGCAAATATCAAAGATTTGAAGAAAATTCATAAGTGTTGTGTTTGGTTCTCTGCTCTGTGTGAGGGAGTGGATAGAATAAAAGGCAAAAGAATGCAAAATGGAAATGAAAAATAAGAAAAAGAAAACCACGAAGGCAAAACACAGCGATTAGTGAAATAAAAACAGTGGAAAAGGTGGTGTACAACATTTTCGGTCACTGCCATTCCATTCCAAGCGATTTGTTAGCCACCATAATAACCACTGATAGAAACGCAATAACCATTAATGGAGTGGAGTATGAGTATATAGTAGTACTATAACAATAACAACAATCCAGTCCGGTGAATAAGTGGTTGTTTGCAAGTGTGAGTGGCTGGCGGAGCAAGAGTTGAGGCACCTGTCGCGGGAGTTATTCGATTCGTCATCACGTCGTCATTGTCGGTCGTCATTGTCAGTCGAAAGCAAAGAAACAAGACAGAGTGGGCCTCCACCTCTTCTTCGCCCATAGGTGCAGAAAAAGTGTGTGAATTATAAACGAAACGACCAACAATCCAATCATTCTGTTCTGCAATTAATGTGATGCTCAACAAAGATGGTGTTAACGAATTAACCCAACAACAAATCCCTAACAAAAAATACACAAATTCCAGTGTTGTGAATAAGAGTGGCTAGCCGAAGAGCTGGCTTGCTCGCCCATTGCCTACCATGTTTACGAAAAAGTCTCATGCCGACATCAAGAAATCCACAGCAAAACTTCAGGATTGCAAAAAGGATTCCGCTTCACGTCTACGCCATTTGCGTACAATACTAGGTAAATATGTCAGAAATGTTAAAATAGATACCTGCTATAATAATTTGCCTTAAAAATTATATCTTCCCAACATCATCATTACCAATGCTCTAACAAGGCGTTTTTTGTTGTTGATTTTACAAATTGACTTGAATTCATTTTATGCTGCTTCTCTTTGCGGATTTTTTCTTCGTTGGTGTGTGGTGTGGGTGTAGTCATTGTGCGTTGACAGCCAAACAAACAAACAACCAACCAACCAGCCAACTAACCATTCAGCTATACAATTTCGAGGCAAACCAATCCGCCAACAACTAAAAACAACAAGCTAACCGACCAAGTGAACTTAGTATTAATTCATTTTTGCAGCTTGGCTCTGACAAATAAAAACAAACACACACCGCGCACCGAAATTGAATTGAAAAATCAAGTACAACAACAAACCAGCGAGTAGCAGAGGCAGCAGTAAAAGAAATCAACCTACCAAATCGATCGATGTTGTTTTGTGTGTGTGATCCACTTTAATCACGAGTTGTTTTGTGTTCGTTCGGTCTTCTGGCTGGCTTGCTGGAACGTTGGATGGCTGTGGTGTATGGTGTTGCGTTGATTTGTTATTGTTTATCTTTAGTTGTTGTTATTTTTTCATTTTCTGCATGCTACATATTTGGATTTTGTGTAGTATGTTTTGTGTTTAGCTGCGCTAATATTTAAAATTCCACAAATTCTCCAATTCGTTTATATGCCAATTGTTGTAGGTATTGGTGGGTAGATGTTTCTTTTTTCATGATGAGCCTACGTTTTTAAAACCGAGTGACATGTAAATGTGATCTCAGTCATGAGTTTGGAGTTTTTGCAATAAGTTTTTTTGTATGGATCTTGACAAAAGTACATTATTTTTATTTTCAATTCATTTGTGTTATAAGGCATTGTCCTGTAACTAACTTTGAATTCTTAGTCTATAAAAAACTGAATGAAATTGAATCGACCCTCTAGTTATAACAAACTTATATCCTTAGGTCTGAATTTCCAGTTCCATTACATATATGTCAAATAAATCCTCACAGATTAGGTTAACCCAGTAAAAAGTTCTAATGTAAATGCTGTTTTAGTGTAGTATGGTGTTAGTGAATTTTTATCCAATAACAATGTATACAACACGTACTAAATATATTGCCCCATCTTAAATCTTTTTTGTACGGTTAAAAATTATTTCTATGAGATCGTACAAAGACCAATGTCGTCCAAAAACGGACGTTGTGACACAGAATATTAATGTCGTTCGGGATCTGATAATGTGCCGTTGTGGCACAGAAAATTAATGTCGTGACACACCGTGAGATAGAAGCATCCTCGAGCATTTCTTACAGCAGCATTTATTCGGTTGTGCATGACCGCAAAAAATGTGTGTTCTCGTTGGCCTACGTACAATTTAAAAAACGTTTAAAAGGTATGATTGTGGTAACGAATCTGGATCTTTGCATATGGACTCAAAACAATACCGCAATTTGCCTTATAGTTTTCCATTTGACCATTTGGCCTGATTCTCTGATAAAACTGGTCAAGAGGCGAATGTTCCTTTTGGGCAACGTAGGACGGCAATTTCTTAGAGGGACAAGTATAATCCATTTCCCCGAAGACTTTGACAAAATTTCAAAAGCAAACAATAGAAAACGAATCATTAATAATAATGACAAAGCGTCCCATCGGCTCAAACAAAGGTATTTTGGCCGTCGTTTGACGTAGTGTTAATGGGCCTTTCGCCGCTTGACACCCATAGCGTTGTTGTAGCAATCCTACTTATTTACACAATTAGCTAAAGTGCTCCTTCGACTAATTTCTGTTCCCCAATGAAGAATATATATTATGTTTGAATTTATAGTTCGCGGGGTATACAGATACGTTGAAAGATGAAGATTTTATGTTTTTATCCAGTTGCCATTCTTTTTATTTTTTGTAACAGTCCTATTGTTTTTACACAATTGACTGTGTGCACATGATCAAAGTGTGAGGTCATAGGTCAAATATTTGACTTCCAAACTTTATTATCGGAAATTGTATTTTTCAAGAGATCAGACAGGGTTTTTAGGATTTTATAACTTACCAGAAAATTGATCCCCCATTTTCACTGTAAAGATTCCATTTCAATCGAAGCAAAGTGTCAAGATTAAGTGAAAGTTCTCAATGCTCTTCTGAATGTTCCAAATCACCACATGTATTATTTCCTTCCCTGTAATCCATTTTTGGATTTTCGTCAATAACAAATAATAAATCCATTAATAGGCATATTATTATATATTACCAGTTACTCAAGTCTTCAGTGGTTGATATCATTTCTTTGTATTTATATAGGCACAAAAATATACCCCAAAACAAAGGAGTTATGTTTATAAATCTGTATTGATATTCAATTGCAAATTGTTTTTTTTGTGCTTTTATTTTAAACAAATAACTCTAACGGTTAAGCAAAAACATTATTTACTTAATGATAAATACCTACATTGGTATTTTGTTTTTATTTTAATTGTTCAGACAATCAATTCAGTGTATGTACATATGTAGTTTCTTTTTGTTTGTTAATTTCTGTTGTTGGGTTATTTGAGATCTCAATGCTGAGGCTATGATGATGTATGACGATGGATACGATAATCAAACCATTTTCGCACCAAAATTATTTATGCAAAATTGGATAGTGGAAAACAACGTGTGTGTATGCATAGATATGTTCGCGTTTGATATGTGTACATACATTTGTATATACATCATCTATAGTTTGTATGAGTATTGACCGATTGTTGTTTATATGTTTAATTATATAATATTTTTTAATTTACACATTTGGTTTTATATGTACAAGTCAGACCGACAGACAGCAAGCTAGTCCATAGGTTGTTCTGCCGTCACAGGAAGTTGAATAACATTGAAATTTATTCGCGCGATCATCATTGCCACTTTGTAATATGAAATTTTGGATGGTAATTGTTACAATACAAAAACATGACAAATTCTTTCATTGTATTTTATTTTGTGTTGTGTAAACAAAAGCGATTGAGTGACAAGGCGTCAGAATTAACATTAGATTTTAGAGAACACTGAAACCTTTTCCAAATTAAATGAAACCTTTTCCAAATTAAATGAAACCTTTTCCAATTGAAATGAAACCTTTTACAAATAGAATGAAACCTTTTCCAATTGGAATGAAACCTTTTACAAATAGAATGAAACTGTTTCCAAATTAAATGAAACCTTTATTCTTATCCAAGGAAATATAATATTTGCAGTAATTTTAAACCAATATTTGAAAATTAAATCAAAGAATATTAACAAATATTGTTGTATGGCTATGTAATTAACATAAATATTCTTTAAATCGTTGTGATTTTATTTTATATCTTTACTAAATAAAACTAAAACAATAGTAATACAAACTGGGGTATTTCTTGACATTTTAAAAAATAAATATTTTAGAACAATTATTGAATACCCGGTCCTAAATGCGAAATACATATTTGATTTAAAAAATTGTTGATGATAAGGTAACTGCTTATCTTAATGAAGAGGTTCCCGACTTGCAGTTTGTGGGATTTTCAAACCCATGTCCATAACGTAGTTAGAACAATCTTGCCGAGTAAGCTTTTGAATTGAATTTGAATTTTGGAGTTTGTGATCCCTACATGGATAGTCTATAAATTCTGGCGCTCTTAAGAAAAATAATTTAAGTTTTGAAATTTGAGTTTTATTCGGTTGTTCCTGGCTATATTTAAGTAGCAATATATTCTTGGTGATCCTTGAAGTGTTTTCTGGCTGGGTTTTCCGTGTTGCTGCAGTTTTTTTGGCGTTTATTTTGCTGAAGATGCCGTCGCAGTGTATTTGCAATGTCTGCAATGAACATATTGCAAAATCTAAATACAAAATTGGATGCACCGGCTGTGCAAATTACTTCCACTTGGATTGTGTGGGTGTATCTGAAAGTGAGGCTCGAGTTAATAAGGGTCTTAGATATACGTGCATTACATGTATCCGTGCTTCTGGTGGTGATGGTGTGGCTGGTGTTGTTGATCATGGCGCTAGTGTTAGTTCGGTTGCTGGTGTGATGCCTGTTTCTAGTGCTTCTGTTGATAATGGTGCTGCACTTGTTAATGCGGATGCCTTACGTAGTTTGCAGAATGATATGTTATCTACCATGAAACTAAAGATGGATGCTTACATGGCACAGTGTATGCAGGAGTTTAAATCCCAAACAGATGCTCTTTTTGAATTGTACAGTGCTGAATTCTCTGAGGTGAAGAGCAATATCACTGAGCTGAAGCAGTCCGTTTGTGATCTTAAGTTAACTGTCAGTGAAATGAAAAACACTTCTATTAGTGTGGAAAAGAAGTTAATAGACAGAGTCCATGAATTGGAATTATATAATGCTATGCTCCAGCGCAGACTGAATCGATCGAATGTCATTATTAGAGGATTGCCGGACAATATAAAAGACCTTAGAGCGCTAACTGTAAATATTGCTAAGGTTTGTGGGATGCAACTGGTGCCTAGAGATTTGCAGCACTGTTGTTACATATCTGACCGTAGAGCGGTGTTGGTGAAATTTAACTCTGTGCAGGATAGAGATTCACTGATGCGTAATTACTCTAAAAAGGGTCGTATTCTTCTGAAGGAAGTAATTGAGAATTGCATTGTGGAGTCTCGAGTGTTTATAAATGATCACTTAATTAAGTCGACCTCCAAACTTATCTATGCCTGTAGAGATTTGCTTAAAAGGAAGCATATTAGGAAATTTAAGCTGCTTAACGGTGATCAGCCCTTGGTTGAAGTTCTTCTTCCTGATGGAACGAAAACTAGGTTCGAGCAGCAGGAACTTATTAATTTTGCCAATCGATCCCGAGATTCGCAGATGCGGAATGTATTGGATAATGATTGTGGGGCGGTGCAGTTTCCTGTTACATAGCCATGTGATGTATATTTATAATTGTTGATCTCATTTTTCTTAATTTTAATATTATTTTTCTTAAAACAATTATTTT